TGGGTCCTGCTTGGGCAGAGCGCGGGAGCCGCCCCTGAGCCAGCCCTGCTCCACAGCAGAACCCAGAGCTCCACTGCTGCTGCTCTCCTGCCCCAAGCCTGGCACAGAAACACCCTCAGTCCTGTCCATAGTCCTGCCCTTTGCCCTTGGGTGGAGGAACTGCCTGCTGAATGGTACAGAAGGTGGGGTAGTGCACTAGGATGAGGGAAACCTGGATTGCACAGCACCTTTCCCTGCCCAGCTCCTCAGGCCCAAAGCTGACATGGAACGAGTCTTTTGGGACCCCCTCCATGGTGGGCATGAGGAGAGGGCAGTGCTGGAAAACCATTACCAGAGAGAAAACTTGGGGCTCTCATTGCCTCCTAAAGCCCTTAGGGGGCACTTCCACCATCAGTGTGTCCCACGGAAAGGACAAAGGTGGGATCCACCTGCAGCCCCTGCTGAACAAATGGCCAAGCAGAACCACAGAGCCCTGCTTAGCTGTTGTGTAAGGCCAGCCTTGGCCTGGCCACGTGTGCCAGCAGCAGCCAGAGGGCTGTGCCTCCCCCCCAGGGGGACACAGATCTTTCCATTCTCTTTGCTGCAGCTCTGTGGTGCTGAATAACCCGGCCCAGAACTTTAATCTGCTGCCAAGGGAGCACGTTCCATGCTGGGAGAGCTTTAATCTGCTCTCAGGCACATTAAAGTCAAGGGCACTCCTGGCTGGGTGCTGTGTGTCCCAGACAGCATCGATGCAGCATGGATTTATCCTCAGAGGCAGCAGCTCCTGGCTGGGCAGCAGCACAGCACAGCCCTCGTTCTGTCAGCTCAGGGGACTTGCATTTGCATTTAATTGCACTGTCCTTCATCTTCTACATATTTTCATAGAGTTATTAAATCCTAACAACTGCCTTGTTAAGCAAATTGTCCTTTTTGTAGTCCTGTCCACACTGAGCTGTTTTTAGAATCTGAGAATTGTTGTAGTGTTGGAGGTTTTTTGTTCACTGGTCTGTAGGTTAGTGAAACACAAGATTTATGCTGAGCCCCCCCAAAAATGCAGGTCCTGCTGCACTCCCCTGCATCTAAACTAGCAAAACCATAGATATCCTCAGGTAGTTGCTGAATTTTTGTGAAACCTGTAAATTTTCCTTTGATTTTCTGCTCAGCTGGACTCTCAGGCAGGGTGCACCTGCCTTTTGGTAGATAAAAACTAAAGGAGCTGTTGAGCTCCAAGGCTGAGTGCAGCGAGGCTGGGTGGGAACCTGAGCTGGGAGCTCGGGGTGTGTGTCCAGCAGAGCCCCAGACCTGCACCACGTCCTCCACGAGAAGGAGCTGCTCCTGCTCTGCTCTTGGGCTCCCCAGGGATTTGGTTGGATTTTTTTGGCAGGATCATTGTCCTGGGGTTGCCTGGATCCTGAGGGAGGGCACCAGGAGCTTTTTGAGAAGTGAATCTTTGCTCTGTGCCCCGGGCTGGGCACTGCTGTGCCCTTGGTGTCACCGCTCCCGGGCATGGGCTGATCCTTGGCCTGGGAGTCTGAGCAGGCAGGGAGTGCTCATGGGTCTCTGTGCAGCAGCTCTTGTGTTCCCGTGCTCCTGCCCAAGTTGTGCCTTTGCTGGTGAAATCATCCCTTTGTCTCCATCCAGGGGAAGGTAGAGAAAAGGCCAGAGTCAGCCGGCGCCGCGCCCAGCTCTGAGCCCAGCGCGGGCTCTAAGGTGGCTCCTAAAGTGGCAGCAAAAGAGGGGGTCCCCAAACAGCCCAATGGGAAAGTGAGTTGCTTTCACACTTTTCTCTGGGGGAGATGAAGGAAAACGTTTCCATTTTGAGTCACTGTCCCTCCTCTCCAGCTGTCCTGCTCTCTCCTGTCAGTGCCACTGTCCTTGCACAGACACCTCCCCTTCTCTCCCCTGCACCCTGAGACGTTCCCAGGGAAGCTCCTCCAGGGAGGGACCCTCTCCGCTGCTGCTGGAGAGGTTTGCAGAGCAGAGTCCTCCTGTTTCACTGCCAGGTTAATACAGGCTTAACTTGGAGTCAGAGGGCTTCCCTTAAACCAGTTCTTCACACACAGAACCAGTTTGTAACGAGGCAGAGGGGTTGAGTTCACAGCTGCTCCTTTTAGGAGTGCACAATATGTAGGAATTCACATCTTCCCTGCAATACTCCCAGCCCAGTTGTACCAAAACTCTGTAACTCCAAGCCTTAGGCCATCACCACTGGATGGGTTACTCCAAAGTCCAGGTGGATGGCGTGAGGTGGGAGTGCCACAGATTAATTCCAGTATTACCAGGCAGGAATGGTCAGGAATGAGCAGGGTTTGTACCTGTAGGGAGTCAGTGAAGCAGCCCAACCTCCATGGCACAGGTGTGTTCCCAGAGCTGCTGTTGCTGTTCCCAGCCTTTCTGACCTGGCTGAGGAGCTCTGGGAGCCTGCCCAGCTGGGAGTGTTGGGTGATCCCTGCTGTGCTCCAAGCTTGTCACCGTGTGGGAGCCAGGATCCAGCTGGGGCCTGCTTGTGCTGTGGTGAATAACTCAGCTCCAGACTAAACCTGTGTTGTAACTAACCTCTGTGAACACTGGTGTCTAACCCAGCTACTGCCGTGAGCAGAGCTCACCCAAACCTCTCCTCTTGCCTTAAAAATCACACACTCACCGAGGCTGGAGAAGCCCTGTGAGATCATGGAGTCCAGCCATCCCCAGCACTGCCAAACCACCTCCAACCACATTCTCACACCCTTCATCTGAGTCAGTGTGAAGGAGAAACAATTTCATTAAGCTGAGACTCATCTGAGGCCATTCAGCTGAAGGTGTGACCACCTTCAGTAGCAGAATGTTCCTCAGAGCCAGCTGTATTGCCCAGGGCTGTGGAGGGACATTGTCCATGGCTGGAGCCAGCCCAGCTGTGGGCATGGAGCAGCTGACAGCGTGCTGGGAGTGCTGGCTCCCAGGGCTGCCTCTCCCTGCTCTGGCCAGCTGGCACTGGAAACCTCCCAGGAGCCTCCTGGGCCATGGACAGTCCCATCCCACCTGGCTCTCCCTGCTCCAGAGGGGTTTCTGTGCCCTGGGCAGCCCCATCCCACCCCTCTGGGCTGGCTCTCCCTGCCCTAGGGAGGTTTCCAGGGTCATGGGCAGTCCCATCCCACCCCTCTGGGCTGGCTGGACCTGCTCCAGGGGGTTTTCCATGCCTTGGGCAGTCCCATCCCACCCCTCTGGGCTGGCTCTCAGTGCCCCAGGGAGGTTTCCAGGGTCATGGACAGTCCCATCCCACCCCTCTGGGCTGGCTCTCAGTGCCCGAGGGAGGTTTCCATGCCCTGGGCAGCCCCAGCCCACCCCTCTGTGCTGGCTGTGCCTGCCCTAGGAAGGTTTCCATGGTCATGGGCAGTCCCATCCCACCCCTCTGGGCTGTCTCCCTGCTCCAGGGGGTTTCCAGGCCCTGGGCAGCCCCAGCCCACCCCACCCCAGGGCTCTGCAGGGTCCCTGGGCACTCCCAGCCTGGCACTAACACTGTCTGTGCAGCCTCCTGTCCTTCACTGTCTCTCACTCTCTCCTTGGTGCCTTCCCCAGCTCTGGGCCCAGCTCCTCAGGGTCCCTGGTGCCCAGGAGCCCGGGTGCCCTGCAGAATGCCACCTCTAACCAGTCCTCTTCCCTTGTGTTGTCTCCGTTCTGTGACGTTCCAGGTCCAGATAGTCTCCAAAAAAGCGAACTACAGCCATGTTCAGTCCAAGTGTGGTTCCAAGGACAATATTAAGCATGTCCCTGGAGGTGGGAATGTAAGTATGGGTCTGGGCAAGCTCTGTGTCTGCTGACTCTTTCTCTGTGCTGTGCTGGGGGTGCCAGCCCCAGGAGTGCTGTGCTGCAGGCAGGAGCCATGGCAGAGCTCCTGGGCACAGCCTGGAGGATTCCTGCCCTGCTCTGGGGCTGCCAGGCTGAGCTGTGGGGTTTGTTCCAGTGTTCAGCTGCTCCTGGGCTGGTCCTGCTCTGTGGGCTGATCCTGTACCCTGGGCTGGTCCTGTTCCCTGGGCTGGTCCTGCTCCCTGGGCTGGTCCTGTACCCTGGGCTGGTCCTGTACCCTGGGCTGGTCCTGTTCCCTGGGCTGGTCCTGCTCTGTGGGCTGGTCCTGTACCCTGGGCTGGTCCTGTACCCTGGGCTGGTCCTGCTCCCTGGGCTGGTCCTGCTCCCTGGGCTGGTCCTGTACCCTGGGCTGGTCCTGTACCCTGGGCTGGTCCTGCTCTGTGGGCTGGTCCTGTACCCTGGGCCGTTCCTGCTCCCTGGGCTGGTCCTGTACCCTGGGCTGGCTGTGACCACACAGGGGTGAGGATGTGCCTGGTCCTGGGGCTGAGCTCACCCCTGACCTGCCTGGAGCCTCCATCCCCAGAGCAGATCCATCATGGCCTGGCAGTGCCTGTAACTCTCCCCTGGCTCCCAGGGCCAGCTGGAGCCACACTCATTCACTCCTTGTTTCATAAAAGGTTCTTTGGAGCAGGCAAAGACTCTGGGACTTAACCTTTGAGCTGAGATTAATTTCTAAATTTAAAGGCTGCTGGTATCTCTTGCAGCAGGGCTGAGCTTATTAAAATAGAAAGTTAATCTGGTGGTGTCTGCAGCTTGGTTTGGGGTGTGGGGTGCTCCAGGTGTCTGCCAGGTAAGCCAGGTTCTCTGTCCAGCCCCTGCAGGCTGGGAGAGCACGAGCAGGGGGCTCAGTCCCTGATCCCTCAGATCTGTGCTGCCCTGACAAATCTGGGCTGGTTGGGCACAGGGCTGGGTCAGCAATGCAAAGTTTGGGTGGTTTCAAAGGCACTGAAGGACCTGAGCCCAAGGAAGTTTGTTCTGAGATGTTTAAATATCCTGGGTTCCCAAGCAGGGATGTCCATCTACCATATCTGCTGAGGTGCCCAGTGACACAAACCCTGCTCAGGACCTGCCTGTGGAGCCAGCTGGGGCCACTTCTCCTGGGAACTCCATGGCCAGCTGCCTGAACCTCTCCATGACTGATTTTTCCACAGATCTTTGCAAGTGGCAGCCAAATGTGGGTTCCTGACACCTGCTTCCCTCCAGGCTGGCTGCCAGGGTGGCCAGAGATGCTGGAGTCACACATGTGCCAATGAACCCAGGCTGCCTTCCCACATCCCTGCTCTGGGGGTTTGGGATTTGTGGCTCTCTGCTGTTTCCATGATTTACACTGTGTTTATGGAAGTGTTTCCCATGGAAATGCTCCCACAGGATGCCTGGGAATGCTGGCCTGGAGCCCTGGTGTCCATGGGGAGCCCTCGGGGGTTTGGAGCCCTGATTCTGTTCCTGCTGCCTGTTCGTTCCCCTGGTGCTGTCCCAGAAGGGCCCTTGGCCCCCCTGTGGCAGCTCTGGAGCAGCTGCTGGCATTTCCCTGGCCATGCTCTCCAAGGAGCTGTATTTCAGAAACCACCTCAGTGCTGCCACCTTTACCTTGCTGAGCCTTTCAGGAGCCTCACAGGGGCCTTCCCTGCTCCTCCAGGCTGCAGAAATGGGGCTGGCATGTGGGGGTCCTGCCTTGCCTGATGAACTGTGTCATGGAGTGTCCTTCTGCTCCTGAGTCACCATCCTGTCCTTCCCTCTGCACTGCCAGCCATTCCCAGCCCTGGGCACAGCTCTGGCCCTGCTTTCCTCTCCTCTCCTCCTCTCCCACACCCTCCTTTCACCACTGCACTTTTGCTCCTTGCTCAGCTCCCTAAGCAGCTCTTTATTCTGCATGTTCTGAACCAAAAGCTCATTCCCAGGCTCCAAATGCTCCCAGAGCAGCTCCAGGAGAGCATTCCCAGCCCTCCAGCACAGGCAGTGTGGATGATTTTCTTTTATTCATTTTTGTATCTTCCCCCTCCCTTTGGAGCACTGTGGTGTTAGTGACCTCTTCAAAATGTTTCCTTGCTCAGGTAGTTGTGGTGATCACTTGGGATAGAATTCCCAGTGTTGGATTCCCAGCTGGGTCTGTCTGGAAGGTCTGTTCTGGTCTGGGCCTTCAGGTGGAGCTTGCAGGATCTCGTGGACAAGTGCTGTGGTTTAGAAACAATTCCTGGTGGAGCTTTAGGAGGATATGGCCATGGGATGGTTTGGGTTGGGAAGGATGATTGAGTGCCACCCCTGGGACATGGCAGGGACACCTTCCCTGTCCCAGGCTGCTGCCAGCCCTGTCCAGCCTGGCAGGGACACTGCAGGCTGGACACTGTGCTGTGCCACCCCACCCCAGTGGCCCCTGGCTGCCCACCCTGCCCTCTGCCCATGGAGATCATTCCTGTCCATGCCCAAAAGCAGCAGCTGCAGTTGCTGCTCACCAGAAACACAAACAGTGCAGTTCCTGGGCAAAAGGGTTGGATGGTTTTTGTTTAGTATTTCCCACTCTCAGAACCACTGAGGTTGGAAAAGATCCCCAAGACCATGGAGTCCAACCTCTGAGCAAGTTTTCTGTTCCAAGACAGCAGAACAGAGTGGATTTCACAAAGTGCAGGCAATGTGTGGGTGAAGGAGGTTTGGGAAGGAGTTTGGAGTGTCCCTGTGCTCTCCTGGCCTTTGGCCTGTCCTGCTTGGCTGCTCTGGGATGTGGGCAGGGACACACAAGCTGACAAGAGCTGGGCCTCACTCCCCACCTGAGCCAAACCCCAGAGTTTATTTCTGGCTCCAGAGTCTGTGCTTGGCTCTCTGAGTGCAATCCCAAGGTGCAAACCCAGCTCCTGCTGAAGTCCTACAAACAGACCCTTCCCTGAGGGTGGGACAGTTTGGATCTCAGGTCAGGAACCACAGCTGGTAACAAACAGCAGATTTCCAGGGCTTTCTGTGAAATAAATTTCAGCTCAGCTCAGTTCTGAGCAAGCAAGGACTGCTGATTAAAGCTGGAGTAACTTTACTCCTGAGAAAACCCAGTCAGGGTCTGTGAGTGACCTTTGGAGGGTGTCCCTGAGCCGGGGATGTGGGACCTGGCAGGAGCTGGGCTGGGCTGTCCTGGGGCTCCTCCCTGGGCACAGAGCAGCAGGATCCCCGGTTCCCTTGGAGGAGTTCTGGCAGATCCTCCTGAGAGCTCTCAGTAACCTCCCAGAGCAGCTGCTGGTCAGGGAATTCTGCTCATATTGGAAAGGAAATCCTTGGGTTTCAAACCTCTGTGACCTGACCTGGAGCAGAACTGAGCCTGCAGCTCCCAGCTGGTGGCTGCTCTCACCCCTGGCCTTGTCTTGGAGAGGGGTGGATTGCTGGAGCAGGGTATTCCATCTGGGCACCAGATCCCTGTGAGAATCCCAGGCTGCTTGGAGTGGAGAGACCTTAAATCCCACCCAGTGCTACCCCTGCCATGGCAGGGACACCTCAGAGCCCACCCAGTGCCACCCCTGCCATGGCAGGGACACCTCAGAGCCCACCCAGTGCCACCCCAGCCATGGCATGGACACGTCAAATCCCACCCAGTGCCACCCTTGCCATGGCAGGGACACCTCCCACTGCCCCAGGCTGCTCCAGCCTGGCCTTGGGCACTGCCAGGGATCCAGGGCAGCCACAGCTGCTCTGGGAATCCCATCCCAGCCAGGAATTCCCAATTCCCAATCTCCCATCCAGCCCTGCCCTCTGGCACTGGGAGCCATTCCCTGTGTGCTGTCCCTCCATCCCTGTCCCCAGTCCCTCTCCAGCTCTCCTGGAGCCCCTCAGGCCCTGCCAGGGGCTCTGAGCTCTCCCTGGAGCTGCTCCTGCCCAGGCTGTGTGTGATGGTGCAGAACAGAGCAGAGCTGGTGGCACAGCCCTGGCCTGCAGCTGGGCTCCCTGAGGTGGCCCCAGGCCATGGCTGTGTCCCAGGCTGGGCAGGAGCCCTCTGGGGACCCTGGCAGCAGATTTGGCTTTTAGTGTCCTGTCCCAGGGCTGCTGTGTCCCAAGGCTGTGGCCCCAGCCCAGCCCTGTGATGGTTCTGTCCCTCTGTCCTGCTCTCTGTCCCAGCTCTGTCTCACTTTGGCTCTGGGTGACCCCAGAGCTGCAGTGGCTCAGGAATTGCAGGCAGGATTCTGGGAATCTGCAGGAGGAGGGATGAGAGCAGGGACAGGCTCACAGAGCACAGCCTGAGGTGCCCTCTCGCTCCAGGGCTTTCTCTGTGCTCAGCTGCTGCTTTTTGTCTCCCCAGGTGCAGATCCAGAACAAGAAAGTCGACCTCTCCAAAGTGTCCTCCAAGTGTGGATCTAAAGCAAATATCAAGCATAAGCCAGGTAGGAATTTTGCCATTTCCTCATTTGCCTGTAAGTTTTGTCACTTAAACACAGCCCTGGATTGGGACTGGAATAGTTTTAGGGGCTTGTTGCTTTCAGGGGATGTCCCCAGTACTTGTGGAAATTTCTAAAAATGCTTCTTCCACAGTTCCTGGTGGTTTGATGAGCAGAGAGGGGGATTAGGAGATGTTGGACGTCCTCTTGCCTGCAGAGATAATCTACAGCTTTGATTGATTTCTGCCTTTCCTGCTCATTTGAGAAGGAACACAGGGATGCTTCCACAGTCATTCCAGGAAGCTCCATCCATGCTCACAGAGGCTTTGGGGCACTCAGAACATCCCAGGATGGTCATGGGACATGGCAGGATAAAGGAAATTCCCTGCAGTCCTTCAGAGCACATACCAGGCTCCTTTTAGCCTTGAGCCCACAGCAGCCCCTGCCTCTCATGGAGCCCTTCTGGGCCCAGGGTGGATTTTCTGGGATGAGTGTGGGAATTACCTGCTCCCCACTGAGAACACAGCCTGAGTTCCTGGGAGTCTCAGGTTTGTCCCCAAGCCCAAGGGGCTGGAGCTGGAGGCCCCTGGCTTGGCCTGAGGGATGGTCAGCTCAGTGTCCTTGGGCTGATGGTCAGCTCAGTGTGCTTGGCCTGATGGTCAGTTCAGTATCCTGGAGCTGATGGTCAGTTGAGAGTCCTTGGGCTGATGGTCAGTTCAGTGTGCTTGGCCTGATGGTCAGTTCAGTATCCTGGAGCTGATGGTCAGCTCAGTGTCCTTGGGCTGATGGTGAGCTCAGTGTCCTTGGGCTGATGGTCAGTTGTGTCCTGGAGCTGATGGTCAGTTCCGTGTCCTTGGCCTGATGGTCAGTTCAGTGTCCTGGAGCTGATGGTCAGCTCAGTGTCCTGGAGCTGATGGTCAGTTCAGTATCTTGGAGACCCCTGGTCCCTGGGCACATTCTCCAGTCGGGAGCGCTGCTGCCAGCACAAGGGCCAGGGTTCAGTGCCCAGGCTGGGAGGGAGCCCCTCAGGGTGGGAGGGAGCCCCTCAGGCTGGGAGGGAGCCCCTCAGGGTAGGAAGGAGCCCCCCAGGCCGCTCTGTGTCCCCCTGGGAGTGCCCTGCAGGCTGCCCAGGCTGCCAGGTCAGAGCAGGGCACTCCCTGGCAGGAGCCCTGGCTCCAGGGGCTCCCAGCCCTGGGAACGCGGTGCCACGGGTGTGACCTGTGCCAGCTCAGTGCTGGGCAGTGACAATGCAGCAACGAGCTGGGGGTGACAATCAGTGCCTTGTCCAGGCCTGATGGGAGCACTGCCACCCTGCCAGGGCTTCAGCTGTGGCACCAAAGCCCTTGCTTTGCACCATTGGCCGTGCCAGGCTTCCAGGGCAGAGCTGAGGCTTTAATGATGTCGCTGGGAGGCAGAGCTGTGCTCAGCAAGACTTGAGCTGGGCTTTGGAGAAGCTGCTGGATGGGCACTGCAGCCAGGGAAGGGTGGCCCTGTCCTTGCAGGGGGGGTGGAATCATCCTCAGGATCCAGGATTCCAATCTGTGGGATTGTGCACTGGTTTGTCAGTAAAGGAGGCAGCACTGTGATCAGAGGGATGGAGCATTTCCCCGTGGCAGGAAAGGCTGAGAGAGCTGGCATTGCTCAGCCTGGAGAAGGGAAGGTTTTGGGGTGACCTCACTGTGGCCTTCCAGGACCTGAAGGGAGCCAAGGAAGATGGGGAGAGGTGACTTCCAAAGGCCTGGAGTGCCAGGACAAAGGGAATGGCTCCCACTGCCAGAGGGCAGGGCTGGATGGGATACTGGGAATTAGGAATTGTTCCCTGGCAGGGTGGGTAGGCCCTGGCACAGGTGCCCAGAGCAGCTGGGGCTGCCCCTGGATCCCTGGCAGTGCCCCAGGCCAGGCTGGACAGGGCTGGGAGCAGCCTGGGACAGGGGGAGGTGTCCCTGCCATGGCAGGGCTGGCACTGGGTGATCCTTAAGGTCCTTTCCAACCCAGCCCATTCTGGATTCTGTGATTAATGGGAATCCATCTATATCTAATTTATCTAAATATATCTATATCTATATCATCTATATCTATCTATAGGAATCTATCTATATCTAATTCTGCAATCTATTCCATTCTGGAAAAACCTTGCTGAAATTCTCAGCTGTGTTTGTGACCTCCACGTTCCCTGCAGTGTTCCTGCAGGTGGGGTGTGCCAGGGGAGCTGCCCAGGCAGGCAGGGCTGCTCAGGGATGCCAGGGCTGGAGCAGCAGGGGAGGAGGGCAGGGACACAGAGGAGCAGGAGGTGCCCTGGCACTGCTGGGAGCACAGGTGGCTGAGCTGGAGGGGCCTGGGCAGGGACAGGGATGGGACACAGCCTTGGAGTGGCACCAGTGAGGACAGTGAGGGTGGCATTTCACACCTCTGCTGGAGGAGGCAGCCTCAGGAGCAGATCCAGGGAGTTCTCTCCAGCCTGTCTGTCTGCATGTGCAGCATTCCCCAGGGCCCTGTGTGCTGACAGGGCTGGGAATCACCAGCTTTGCTCTTCCAGAACTTTCCTGAGGCAGGGACTGTGGAACTTGTCCTGTCCCTCCTCCAAGGGCTCCCCAGGGGCTCCTGGGTGGGACTGCTGGGACCTTCCCCAAACTCAGCCCTGCTCCCTGTCCCTGCAGGCGGAGGAGACGTCAAAATCGAGAACCAGAAGCTGAACTTCAAGGAGAAGGCCCAGGCCAAGGTGGGATCTCTGGACAACGTGGGACACTCACCGGCCGGAGGGGCCGTCAAGGTGAGGGCAGGGACCTGGCACAGCCAGGAATGGCTCTGATCCAGTTCTTGTCCTTCTGCTGCTGCTGTGCAGCTCCTCCTCCACAGCCTGGTACTACCAGCCTCCTTGCTCCTGGGGCCTGTGCTGTGCCCCCCTGGGTGGGGATGGAGCCCTGGGTGGGGATGGAAAGGAGAGAGCTGGACCCAGCTCGGGGTGCCTGACCCTGCTGGGCATTCCCAAGGGCTGGCACTGCCCATCTCCATCCTTCCTCTTGGAACCTGAGAGCAGGGATCACTGCTGGCAGGGCTGTGCCCAGCAGAGGGGCTGGCAGGGGCTGGCAGGGCTGTGCCCAGCAGAGGGGCTGGCAGGGCTGTGCCCACAGAGGGCTGGCAGGGGCCGTGCTCAGCAGAGGGGCTGGCAGTTCCACTCCCAGTGGAAGCAGCTGAGATCCACATGCTCTGTGCTCTGTGCTGGAGAGGGCACCTGGCAGTCTTGGGAGCATTTCCAGAGCCATGGAATGCCCTGAGCTGGAAGGGATCTGTCCAGCCCATCCTTCAGCCCTGTTTTGCTTGTGTGGGGATGAGAACAGAGCACAGCTCTTGGGCTGATTCATCCCTTCTCCCACAGGAGCACAAACTGTCCCCAGCCTCGGCTCTGCGTGTTCCAGGTCTGGCTGCAGCAATGGGACATCTGTGCCCAGGGAGGGGGCATTCCCTCCCCGAGGGATGTGTGGGCCTGGCACAACCCCAGGGAACTGGGAATTGTGCTCAGGGAGCCACTGGAAGGGACTTGTGACACCCCTGCCATGGCAGGGACACCTCCCACTGCCCCAGGCTGCTGCAAGCCCTGACCAGCCTGGCCTTGGGCACTGCCAGGGATCCAGCTGGACTGGGTGTCCCAACCCTGGCTTGTGTGAGGCTCTGTGTGTGCAGAACGGGCTCAGAGCTGGGCTGAGCTGCTGTGTTGAATTCTGGGGGCGCTGGAAAGCAGCAGTGCCAGTCCTGGGGCAGCAGGATTCCCAGGGGGATGGCGCTCAGGCATTCCTGGCAAAGCAAGGGCAGAGGGCATGGCCACTGCTCAGGTTCTCCCAGCTCCAGCCCTGTCTGGAAACTCCATCCTGGCAAATCGTGGCTCAGGGAAGGCTGGAAGGAGCTGGAGAAGCTGCTCCTGCATGGGAAGGGGTCTGGAACTTTCTGTAACAGAATTCCAGTGAACTGCAGCTCCTGGTGTGTACACTGGTGTGTGCTGGGGAGTTGAGGGTGCTTCCACCCAAGTTCCAGATTGTCACCTGCTCAGGTTCAGTCTGACTGTGGTGTCATCTCAGATTCAGTCTGTGACTGTGGGCTGTTTCCCCTCCCTGGGTGTCAGTGCTGGCAGTGCTGGCAGGGCTGCTGCTGGTGTCCCAGGGCCTTGCCAAGGGTTTCTGTCACCCCTGGGATGCCCAGGGCAGCAGAGCCCCCTCCAAGGGCAGGAGGGCTCAGCTCTGCTCCAGGCCCAGGGACAGCTG